TAGTGATTTTGATTAAAGAGAGACATGCCCCTCCTGAATCAAATTCACCTTCGCTCTCCCCCATTCTCTTATTTGTGTTGTCGATTATAGAGATCAGTATTAATTTTTAATTTGATTAGTAGTAATAATAGTAGTGTTTCTTATATGAATTAGTAGTAACTTTTATTGTAACGAGTATTGATTTTTGTAAACTATTAGTATTATTTTGTGTAGTTATTGTAGTATTTGTTCATTTGTAGTGTTTTTTTCATTTTTCGGTAGCGATTTTTATTAAAAATTATCAATAAATACTAATTAAAATCATTACTAATGATAATATAATCGTTTAATTATTTTTATCTAGAGTAGTTAAAATCAAACTCCACGATCTTTTAATACTTAAGGGTAGAGCGCCCGTATTCTTCCTTCGGCCGAAACAAATCCTAAATATCATTGATCAGCAAGTCATAGATTGACCATCAACAATAAGCTTCATGTGAATACTAAATAAATTAAATGACAATACAACATACTTGTGGTGTGGGCTAAGAACCTTGTGGTGTGCTTTTATGAACATGTGTCTAGTTTATGTGAATTGTTATGTACGTTAATAAACATGTGGTATGTGGTATGCCTTACTGGACTTGCGGTGAGATTTACGAAAAGTTTGTCTATTGTCAACCCTAACACTGGATGAGATGGAAGGAGAAGTGGGAGACCCTCCTATGCTGAAAAAACAATTCGAGGAATCAGCTGATCTTTTAGAGAAGGTGGAGGAAGCCAACCTCGAATGGCCCCCAACTGATAAATGAGGCTACTGTCCTGGAACGTGTTCTTCTTTGAAATACGATCGAGCCGGAGAGTAGCGTCCTGTCGTATGGGGGGTTAGGTTTTGATCATTCTCATTGTTTCTTTGTTGATGCGATTGATGCATCTGGAGGTTTAGTAGTTGCTTGGTCCCCCGGGTTTTCATTCCGTCTTCGGTATTTGTACGCAAATTAATGAAGTGGATTTTTCTTATGTCTTGATTTTTGTTTACATTTGCTGTAATGTTGCAATAAGAGCTACTCAATTGGCTCGGTTGCGTGAAATTTGTGATAACATCCACCAACCGTATGTTGTCATAGGTGATTTAAACATTACTCTTCATGAGGGTGAAAAGGATGGTGGACTGTTATGGAATGCTGCTCAATCTCTTAGCTTGCGTGACTTTGTCCAGGATTTGGGTCTTCATGACCCAGGTTACCGTGGTGATCTGTTCACTTGGACGAACAAACGAATGGGCGTTGCTTGCATTCGTGAGCGACTGGATAAGGCTCTTTGCTCCCAGTCCTGGATTGATAAATATATGAATACTTTGGTTAAGCACTTTATGGATCAGGGGTCGGATCATCGAGCCCTCCTCCTCTCCGACAGGACATATGCTAGAAATAGTCGCCCCTAGTTCCATTTTGATGCCTGCTGGGAAGATAATCCGGAGGTCAAGGCCATGGTAAATTATATCTGGCAAGAGGATATTCAGGGTACCCCTATGTTTCGACTTTGAGAACTCCTTAAGAAGCTCTGCCATCTGCTATATGACTGGAGTAGAGCGGGCACTACGAATTCCTTGCGTAGCATTAAATTTCTCCAGGCTGAGATTGACCGGATTAAATTGATCCATCCTATTGACTGGGATGTGATTAGGAGCCTGAAAGCTGAGCTGAATCGCCAATGGGAGGCGGAGGAGATCTACTGGCAGCAAAAGTCCAGAGTCCTGTGGTTGAAAAGAGGGGATAAAATACTTCCTATTTCCATACGGTTACGAGAGCTCGTCGAAAATGGAACTTTGTATTCAGCCTTCACAATGATAATGGTGAATGGATCATTGAGGAAACTGGGAAAGCAGCTATTGCTACTGATTTTTATCAAAATCTTTTTACCTCGGAGACTCAAATCCCATATATGGCGGATAGGTTGGCGACTCTCCCCATCCCTCATACAGCTACTCCGAAAATGAATACTAATTTGACGGCTGAGGTTCTACCCAGTGAAGTAAGGAAAATAGTATTTTCCATGGGGTCGAAGCAGGCACCAGGGTTTGATGGCTTCACGGGTAAATTCTTTAAGGCTTTCTGGGATATTATGGGCAATTCGGTGATTGAAGCAAGCGAGGATGGCCAGTCCAAAATTTGGTGTGGAGGAGGTCCAGTCGAAAATTCGGTGGGTCTCCTGGCGCAATATGTACAAAAGCAAGCATGAAGGGGGTATGGGATTTCGTCGTTTTGAACATTTTAATCAGGTTTTGTTAGCCAAGATTGGTTGGTGTATCCTTAATGAACCCCAATCATTATTAGCGCAGGTTTACAAAGACAAATATTTTCCGATGGGGACTTTCCTTAGTGTCACGGCTCGCTCTCGCCCATCGTGGGGTTGGCAAAGCATCCTCTATGGTAGGCAGTTATTGGACATGGGGCTATGCTGGCAAATTGGTAATTGGCAATCTGCCTCGCTTCTTCATTCCAAATGGATCCCTCGGTTTCAGCCCTGTCTCTCGGTGTATAATCCTCTTGTGTTACTGGAGGGGGGGGACCCTCCAGTAGCTGAGGTTATCTTTCAAGGGGAAGGGCGTTGGTGTGACCGCAAACTTAGTAAGTGGTTTGACCCGCCCACCTGTCGTGCCATCAAAGCTATTCCGCTTCCACAACAGAATGTGGAGGATAGACTGATTTGGCACGGCGCGGTTGACAGAGTTTTTACGGTTAAATCGACTTACCAACTTGATGTCTTACTTGATAAGCGTAGTGGTCGATGGCGGTACATGGCTAGTTGGATGGCTAGGACCAACTGAATTCGTTTATGGGAGATTAATATTTCGCCCAAATTGAAGGTGTTTATCTGGCAAATCTGTCACCGAATCCTCTCAACTACTGAAGCTTTAATTGAGAAGGATGTCCCGATGCTTCCCAGATGCCCGGTTTGCTGGACTGAATTAGAAACAATGGAACACTTGTTTCTTTATTGCCTGGTGGCTCGCGCCCTGTGTGACTATTCAGGCTTGGAGTATCTGGGGTAAGGGTTGTCTCGTCACACGTTCCCCCTCTTTCTAAAAAAGTTGTTGACTTTAATACACCAACCTTCTCTGTTCATGGCGGTGGTGTCCATCCTTTGGAGGATCTGCGGTCTCGTAACTGGGTTGTCTTTGAGGGCAAACAGTTTGGGATACCAGTCTTGATGCGTCAATTTCACCAGCAGTATGATGAGTGGGTAAGTTTGCCGATGGATCGAGTGCCTCCGTCATCCATCCCTGTAATCCCTGGGGAGACGACTGTGGTAGGTCCTTTGGGGCGAATGGGGTGATTTGTATATGGGATGGGGCTACGAGGAGCGGTTCGCATTGAGCCGGTGGGATGGTTCTTACAAACCCATATCAGAAAGTCCTTATGGCTAATGGGATTCAATTCTCGTTTATCGATGACGCAATGGTGGTGGAGTTGCTTGTGCTCCGGGAGGCAATCTTATGGTGTCAGGGCCACGGGTTCACGATAATTAGGTTTGAAGGGGACGCCAAAGTGATTATTGAGAAGATTCTTCGAGCTGAGACTAGAGATAACCGAATGGGGGGCTATTCTCGAAGAAATCGTGCATCTTTTTGCCATTCTCTCTGGGTTTAGTTTCGATTTGTAGGTCGGCATAGCAATAGGGTAGCCCAATTGGTGGCTAGAAAGGCCCTCTCTTTGTACCCGACGATGAATCAGTTCTTTGATTTTCAGGTCTGGCTGAACTCCAGTATTATTTTGGTATGAGTTATTAGGTAGTGTGTCACGGTCTGTTACGGTTTACCACAGTAAACCGCGGTCTAGATCACTTCAGACCACACACTAAAGGAGGAAACCGCAAACCAGACCAGACCATAGTTCTGGTCTCATGGTCCAGACCATACCATACGATACGATCTAGACCGCGGTTCCCTATACGATTTGGTCTAGATTCCCAGCCCTAGTATCCCATACAGCCATACTCTTCTTCTTCCTCTTAGCCACACAACCACACAACACGAAACTTTGCTACATTCCCCCATCCTAAACACACGGCAACAACAAGATACAAATACAATGGTAATTACTAGGGTTAATACTTTGGTTTGGCCCGAACTATACACATACTTTCTTCTTTGACCCGTGGTATTCAAAATTGCTACTATGGCTGAACTATGTAGCAAACCTCCTCATTTGGCCTGGAGGCGGGTTTGACCGTCAAATTAGACGGTCAAACCTGTTGACCGTTAGTCAATGTATACCTCACCTGCCACGCCAACTTTGAGGACATAAAAATTTAATTTTTTTTTAATTTTGTTTGTTTTCGATTAATAAAATTAATAATTCTTTACAAAAAAAAAATAATAGCGAAAAAATTAATTAAAAGAACGAAAAAAAAAATAAAAAGCCAAAATTATCCCAGCCCCCCCACTACCCTTATCCTCCCGCATCGCCTTTATCAGGAAATAATTCCCTCCCCCTTTCAGACCCATCGTCTTCCCCGAACTCCCTTCCCCGACGAGTTCCTCTTCGATTCTTCGACAAATGCAGAGGCGGCCGGTCGGTTAAAGACGTCGCCGCCGCTGATTGTTGGAATCCTCCTTCCCCGACTCCTCCTTCTCCCTTCCCCTTCGATTCACATTCTCTTTTTTTCGTCCTTTTAATTAATTTTTTAGAGTTATTATTTATTTTTTTGTAATAAGAATTATTTATTTTATTAATCGAAAGAAAACAAAATAAAAAAAAATAATTTTTTATGTCCTTAAAGCTGACGTGGCAGGTGAGGTGTACATTGCCTAACGGTCAAACCCGCCTCCAGGCCAAATGAGGAAGTTTGCTACATAGTTCAAGTCATAGTAGCAAATTTCAATACCACGAGCCAAAATAGAAAGTATGTGTATAGTTCGGGCCAAACTAAGGTATTAACCCTAAATGGTAACCATTTGAATCTCTTTTTTTTTTTTTTTGACAAAGTGGGGATAATGATCTCTTGCAAAGAGCAGAAGGGTAATAACATATATTGGCACAAAGCTATCATGGTTCTCTTGAGAGCAAGAGTAGAGCCAGAGATAACTCTTATAAACGGGTTGATTCTGAGGGGGTACAAATTTCTAATTAGCATTTTGGAGTTCATTGACAAACTAAGTGTCGTCAATAGAAGAACATAAGAGATCCTCTCGAATATAGTCCATCCAAAACCAAACAAAACAGCGAATACCAATAAAAAAGAGGGACATAGGAGATAGGACAATGAGCTCCTCTTGTTTAAACCGCAAATATAGAGCAACCACAGACGGATAAAACCATCAATGCCGACTGTCTGGGCAAAACCACAAAGAGTGCTGAACCACCATCAACAAATTCAGTCTGAACCACCATCAACAAACATCAAACAGCAACAGATAACCAGACGCACAATAGAAAGTGCCATCTTTCACATCACAATCTCTCTATTACTCCTTAGTACTCATCTCCTTCATCCTCACCATCTTCAGGAGCCTCGGCACCAACCTCCTCGTAATCCTTCTCCAGGGCAGCCAGATCCTCACGAGCCTCGGAGAACTCACCTTCCTCCATACCCTCACCCACGTACCAGTGAACGAAGGCCCTCTTGGCATACATCAGATCAAACTTGTGGTCAATACGGCCAAAGACCTCAGCAACACTTGTGGAGTTGGAGATCATGCACACAGCCCTCTGCACCTTGGCCAAGTCGCCTCCAGGGACAACAGTTGGCGGCTGGTAGTTGATACCGCACTTGAATCCAGTAGGGCACCAGTCGACGAACTGGATGGTGCGCTTGGTCTTGATGGTGGCCACAGCAGCGTTCACGTCCTTGGGGACGACATCACCACGGTACATGAGGCAGCAGGCCATGTACTTGCCGTGACGCGGGTCACACTTGGCCATCATGGATGAAGGTTCGAAGGCACTGTTGGTGATCTCGGCCACAGAGAGCTGCTCATGGTATGCCTTCTCAGCTGAAATGACTGGGGCATAGGAGGAAAGCATGAAGTGGATCCTTGGGTATGGGACCAAGTTGGTCTGGAACTCTGTCACGTCCACGTTGAGAGCTCCATCAAACCTCAGCGAGGCAGTGAGGGATGAGATAACCTGATGACAGTCGAGAACCAAAATCAGTCTCAAATCAACATTGAACATAAATTCATCACAGATACAGATTGATTATTCACACGGATGATGATTACCTGGGAGATGAGGCGATTCAGGTTGTGGTAAGTTGGGCGCTCGATGTCCAGGGAGCGCCTGCAGATATCGTAGATGGCCTCGTTATCGAGAAGAACAGCGACATCAGTGTGCTCAAGGAGGGAGTGAGTCGAGAGGACACTGTTGTAGGGTTCCACGACAGAGGTCGACACTTGAGGAGAGGGGTAAACTGTGAATCCGAGCTTGGACTTCTTTCCGTAGTCAACGGAAAGACGCTCCAGGAGGAGAGATCCAAGACCGGATCCAGTACCTCCACCGACGGCATTGAAAACCAAGAAACCTTGGAGTCCAGTACAGTTGTCAGCCAGCTTCCTGATGCGGTCCAAGCACAGATCAACAATCTCCTTACCAACTGCAAACACCGATCAAACGGAAATCATTCAGTAAAGGCATCCGTTGAAAATTGACAGAGAATCAAGGGAGATATGACGAAGATCTGAGACTTTACTTGTGTAGTGGCCACGAGCGAAGTTGTTGGCGGCGTCTTCTTTGCCGCTAATGAGCTGCTCAGGGTGGAAGAGCTGGCGGTAGCTTCCAGTCCTCACCTCATCGATGACGGTGGGCTCAAGATCGACGAACACAGCGCGAGGAACGTGCTTCCCTGCACCAGTTTCGCTGAAAAAGGTGTTGAAGGCATCGTCTCCTCCGCCGACGGTTTTGTCACTCGGCATCTGGCCATCAGGCTGCAACGGGCCAAATACCAACAAATTCAGTTTACAAACGTCCAAACACCATCGCTACCGAGATCTTAACGAGCTCCTATTCACAGATCTGGCCTACAACCTTCGAACTAGCATTTTGAGTTTACAATTGCAATCCGGAACGGAAAACAGAGCGTAAACAAGGCAACATTGTAAAGAACCAAACGAGATCTATCGTAAACTCATAGATCTAATCAAATCCAAGTTGAAAACGATAGATTCAGCAAGATTTCAACCATTAGCCTCGATTTCTAAAACCAGATATCTAGATCTAACGAATGCAGAAGCAAAAGCATAACGAACAGTTGACGAATCAACATTGCAGATAATTCTAAGAAATGAAAAGAACGACTCAACAACAATCGAGATCTGGAGATGGAGTTTTACCTGAATGCCATGCTCAAGGCAATAGAGCTCCCAGCAGGCGTTTCCGACCTGGATACCGGCCTGACCGATGTGGATCGAAATGCACTCTCTCATTTTCGTAGGGCTGAGGGAAGAAGACGCCGGAGCGAAGAAAGGCGAAAGGGAACGGAGCCGAAGAGCTAGAACCGCGAAAGGAGAACAGGGGAACGGCGTTTATGAAGACGCCCTTCGTTATTCTTTCGAGATGGGAAGCAAGGGTTCCGAAAATCAGGTTGTTATATAGAAAGGCAGGGGAAGCCAGAATTGGTTACTGCTGCAACCCAAGGTAACCACGGTTAAAATAAAAGGCGTAATTGCCAGCCACCGGCGGATCAGTTTGGGTTTTCATTTTGATTGGCTCGCCTTAATTTCCAGGCTGGCTTGTTCCAACTAACCGTTATAATTAACCATAGTTAGTTTCCTATCTCGCCAGACCCGCTCGGAATTCAAATTTTGAAATTTTTTAAAGATCTTTTTTATTTTGGGTTCTGAAATGTGTTTGGTTTGAGAGGAAGGGAAATCGTAACGGATGCCATGCCACTGTCACTGTGTGTGCTGCCGGAGGGTAATAGTGACGTTTTACCTTTCTGCCGTTTTTTTATTTATTTTTCTTTCAAAACAAATCATTAATGAAGTTGGAAAGAAGACGGTGGTTGGATCATGGACATGGATGAACAAGATGGGATCTGGCATATAGGCGCCGATAGGTAGCAGTAACAGCAAGCAAAGTAGCAAACACTACTTTAGAGGGAAGGAATAGGATAAGTTAAAAATTAGTCATTCATTTTCATATCTATTCCTTTCATAGCACTTTTACTATGCTATAAAGTATTTGTGCTTTAATGTACAAATTAAAGTTGTATCATAACGTTAAATGTATAAGTTCAGGTTGTACCATTAAAAAATTTGTACTCTTATGTTATAGTACAACTTTACAACTTAAAGTTTTACCATCACCTAAAGATAAAAAAAAAATTGTACAAAATAATATAGGTACAATCTGCAGTTGTACCATAACATTAAATGTACAACTTGAAGTTGTAACAAAGACAAAAACCTATAGCACCAATGTTATATAGTATTGTAAAATTTATCTTCCTTTTAAACCTTCAAATTCATGTTTTGTGTTATTTAAGGGCTAAATTACACGTTTGTTCACTCAAATTACATAAATATTTCACGTTTGCCATCTGAATTACTTTTCTTTCTTATTCGCCACTAACTTTACGAATCATTTCACCGTTAGTCACCGACCGTTAGTCTCCGTTAACTCCGTTAGTTTTTTGATGATGTGGCAAACGGAACTGCTGACTGTACCGTCAACTTATGTCATGTCAATTTAAAAAATAAAAAATAAGAAAAAATCCCTTTTTCCCCTTCCACGCTCGCTCACTCATCTTCAACCCTTTCCTTCCTTACAGCAGCAGCCGCTCAAGGTTATCTCCCCCAAAATCTTCACCAACTTCTGCTCCAAACGGCACCCTTCACCATTACTCTTCTTCTTTTTCTTTCTGCGACCCAAGAAGAAAAATTAATCGCGCCGAGTGAACTGTTGTCTTATGGCGGCGAGGATCGACGAGGGTGTAAGGGCGACGATTAGCCTGGGGAGGAACGAACCCATCAAAGGAGCCTTCGACGGAGCGTTGTCGAGGCCTTCAACTCTGGAGCTCGTCGTGGGTCCTCAAGTAGTTGGGGACGAATCGCAGGGAGGAGTTCGTCGATGATGTTTAGCTTGCTGTGCAGATTGGCGCCTTGGCGGGAGGAAGGACCGTCAGCGATGATGGTGTCCAGGTAGTCTGGCGGTGGTGTGACTTTGCGATAGCGGCGGAGAATGGACGACTGCACGGCCTGGCGGTAGAGTGGAGGCACGGCGTCTCTCTCGCCTTCCTCCTTATGGGTGGGCTATCTCCCCCTGCCCTGTTCCAATTCAATTGAAATTGAATTATATAGAATCCAAATCCAATAGTCCAATTAATACAAGGATTGAATTCAATTAGTTATTTGGGGCGGATGGAGGGACATTTTTAATCTGGTGTGTTTCCTTTTGGATGCAGGGACATTTACTCTCAGGCGCTGCCGCTACCTCTAGTTGGACGGTGGTGATGGGAGGAAGTAATTGGTCCGGTGGTCCACAGAGAAAAAAAACCTTGGCCGGAGGATGGTGGCGGTTGTCGACTATCGGATATGGACCCAATCTCTATCAAACCTTGAGCGGCGGCTGCTGTAGAGAAGAGAAGGGTTGAACATGAGTGAGAGAGGTGGAAGAGGGAAAAGGGAATTTTTTAATTTTTTAATTTTTTAAATTGACATGTCATAAGTTGACGGTACAGTCAGCAATTCCGTTTGCCACATCATCAAAAAACTAACGGAGTTAACGGAGACTAACGGTCGGTGACTAACGGTGAAACGATTCGTAAAGTTAGTGGCGAATAAGAAAGAAAAGTAATTCAGGTGGCAAACGTGAAAGATTTATGTAATTTGAGTGACCAAACGTGTAATTTATCCGTTATTTAAGGTATAATTCTTTTCCTTTAAAACATGGGTTAATAGCATTTTGTACCATTTGACTATGTTAAATTAACAAACGTACCCCTCTATTAAATTTTTGAAAAAACATATACACAACATGTCCTACGAAACCATACCAACAAGCCAAAATCAAGGGATAAATAATCCATATAACATTAAATTTTCAGAAATGGGGAATAATAGTAGTAAAGTACAAATAGGTTATTGGATACTATTCAAATAAAAAAAATGTACACTCACCCAATTTGCCATCTATTTTACTAGTGAGGGGGAAATATTGTACTGTAAAAAAAAGAAGGAAAAATATTGTCAACTCAACTTTGAATGTGGCAAGTAAATTGTTGCCTCAATTTTATTTTTAACCACAAATTAAAAAAAAACTAGATTATCCCAAAATATTTCGACCCGTGTTCGAGCCTTCTTCGTTTGCCCGCCACGTCAAATTCATTTTGAGAAAGAAATAACCCATATACCATTAAACTTTTAGAGTTGGGGAATTATGCTTTCTTTTAATTAGCTAGCTTCACTACCCTCCTTCATTACTAGAGAACAAGTTACAGCAAAGCTCGCAAGGGCTTGTGAAATAGAATTTCAAACAACAAGGTAACGGCAAAGTAACGCTACATAGCAAGAGAAGTCAGAAGATGTGCGCGTAACACAAGGTACATTCAAACAACAAGGTCTTTTAGGCCAAAGCCACCATTTTTGTATAAATATTGACGTATTGACGCCTAACTCGAATTAATAATAAGACGTTCTTGAGTGATACCCATTACATCATGGCGAAGCCATTGATCAAGACCTTGGTCACACACATCGAAGGAATGTGTGCCAAAATTACAATCATTACCTTTACACGCCAAAAAGTCAGTGGCATGATTTGCCTCTCTAAACACATGTGAAACCGTAACCTCCCAATCTAGGCTTGGGAGAATCTTAAGTTGTTTGGAGATATTTCCAAGTCGATGGTTGTCATTGGAGCCGCCCTTAATAATGCTAATCGTCATAGTAGAATCAAACATCAGATTGACCTTCTGGTAGCCCTTCCCCCGAGAAATCTTCAGGCCTTCTGCAGCTCCCTTTAGTTCTGCAACCGTGATTGAACAATGGTCGAGGTTGCAGATGAAGGTTTCTCTGCAAATTCCCAGGTAGTCTCTGATTAACCCACCACCAGCAGCTTTCCCAGTCGACGTAAGCACAAAGCCATATGTTTGAACTTGCATCCAACCCTCCCTCGGTGGCTTCCAACCCACTTGTGTCGTGATCCTTTCAGCATGATTCTGATTCCCAATCTTCTGATCATTGCAATAAGCTTTCCATAAAATGCTAAACCACATGTTGATTCTGGCAATCAAGCCATCTTTCGAGCAAGATTTACCATCAAGCACCTCATCGTTCCTCTGCTTCCACAAGTGCCAGCAGACAATGCCAAAATCAATCCCTGTTCCTTTATTCTTGACATTAACCATCAACCACTCTTTCATTGGCATAGTGTGGTTTTTCTCTGCAAGCTTCCCCAAACAACCCTAGCTTTATGACAGCCTCGCAGAATATGTTTAATAGTCTCTTCTTCAGTTTTGCAGTGAGAACATAACTTGTAATTAATCATTCCTCTTCTAGTTCTTTCCTTGTTTGTGAACATGCGATCATGAAGCACCAACCACAAGAAGTGTTTGATTCTATTTGGACCTTTCCATTCCAGAGTTCTTTCTAGGGGTGATTGGTTGAAACCTCAGCTTCCTCACTGCCGAGCTTGTAGGTTGACTTGAGCCTGAACCTGCAATCTCTTTCCAGTCCCCAGATAGTGATATCCTCACCCAAATCTGGTTTAGGTGCTTCCATCCCTGCAATCATGGTAAGGATGTCACCTGGCAGGTCTTCCTTCAGCTTCTCCCAATCCCATTCTCCCTATCCAGTTGTCCAATTCGCAACCCTTGTGTCCAGTTCACGGGGAGAAATGTCCTTAAGGGAAAAATCCTCCAAAACGAGACCACTTTCCAGCCAGGTTTGGGACCAGAACATGGTTGATCTTCCATCACGAATACTCCAACATGTGGCTTCATTCATAATCTTCATTCCCTTCAAGTTAACACGCCACAGACTAGAGTGGTTGGTCTTCTTCATGGAGGTGATATTGCCTTCCTTATGCTTGAAGTACTTGTCTTGGAGAACCTGGACCCACAAATCAGAATCGTTGTTAACGATGTGCCACTAACGTAACCATATGGGCCATATTCATACAATAAGCAGATTTCAACCCCAAACCCCCTTGATCCTTTGGTTTACAAATATTCTCCCAAGAAACTAAGTGAGGTTTCTTATTTCCCTCTCCTGATCCCCACACAAAGCTCCTGACCTTTCTATCAATGGTATCACAAATACAGTAATACACATGGGTTGGAGGGTTGTTTGCATAACATAGTTGGGCAGGGCATTCAAGACAGAGATAGCCAAAGTAGCTCTCCCAGCCAGGGAGAGGGTTTTGGATTTATAGCTGGACAAATTCTGATCCATTCCATCAATGACATACTTATATGTAAGTTTAGTCATACAACCATGCAAAACGTGAACACCAAGATATCTACCAATGTCATTAGTAGCTTGCATGCCAATTCTGATGCAAATGTCATTTTCGGTTTGGTTCTTAACATTCTTCGAGAAAACAACTCAAGATTTATCCTTGCTAACAGACTCTTTAGAGTACAAACAGAAAGTTTCAAGACAATTCAGCACCACATCAGCATGTCTAGGGGTAGCTTCATCAAACAACACCAGGTTGTCTGCGAAGAAAAGATGGGATAGGGCAGGTCCCCCAGGGGAGAGGGATATCGGCTTCCATTTTCCTAACTGAACTTCATCAAAGATGCAATGGCTAAGTTTCTCAACACATAAAGTAAAGAGTTAAGGAGAGAGGGGACATCCCTGTCTTAGTCCTCT